TTTATTCTAATTTATGAATTCTTCTGAGAGCAAAAATTTCATAACGATCTTTTCATGTTCGCGCGAGCACGGACGAAAAAAAAATATATATGAAGAGAAGTGGATTAAAATCTAAAGGACATATTTTTTTTTTCCAAATACATGCTCTTTTGGAGAGAAAGTAAGAGCACGGCGCTTGCTTTATTTGACTTCTTTATATACATTTTGTCTCTCTCTTTCTCTTTCTCACCGATTCTTAAGGACAAACTGTTTCCTACACGAATTTCTATTAATATCGTTTGCTTGTATTGTCTTGTACCGTCGATTCGGATGGCATTTAAAGTTTTTTTGAGCAATTGTTTAAGTTCCTAACACTAAAATAACTCTTTATCCGGTTTTGGAATATGTGCGGACCTTTCGCCTTCGTAATGTTTCGTAAGGAAAGAAAAATTGCGAAAGCATATCCTGTTTTTGTTTCTCCTAGAACTATATTTAAAAAAGTATCATTTGGCACGAAAAAGAGCTGTTGCTTCTCTATGTTGTTTTTTTTTGTTTGTTTGTAATAAGTCTCAATTTACACAGACAACAATAAATTTTATATGTATATTTAACCGGAATCAGTCTGATTCATAAGTATTGACACCGAATTTAAAACCACATAAAAGTAATAAGACCTGACTATCATAAGTAACTAAAGTATTATTAATATATCCGTTTTGGATTAACGCACGAAATAGTCTATAATAAGACAAATAATACGCATAAGTGATTACATAAAGTACGAATATTAGATTCCGACAATTCCGGACTGTTTGAAACCGGACTAATACATACATAAAGAGGGGAAAAAAACGATTATTTATTTATTAATAAATAAAAATTACTACACAATTTTTAGAATTTATTTTTAGTCAGCTCAATTTAAAATTTAGTTTATTTTGCAATTATTCACAATTTCACAAAAATATATTCCGTTGTTTTTTTTACTATTTTCTTTCATTAAACTTTAATTTCAAATATAATAGAATCATTATAATGTGAACACCAAAATACAGAAAATGAAGTTGAACATATTAAAAAGAAATACTTTCACTTTTATTTTTAATTACCTGCTATTACTAGAAAGAAAAAAAACGTTAAAAAGCATATTAGTGTCCATTAGTCTATTATCTTAATGTTACGTGAAAATGAATGGGAACAAAACAATATATTAATGTATAAAGTTCAAAAACTTATTTAGAACTGTAGCATATAATTATAAAGAACAATTAACAAGTTTAACATAGATATTATTCCAATAAAAAATGTAAAAATATAAAGAAATATTTTGATTGCTTATAAATATAAAGAATAGAGGAAGTTATTAAAAAATAAAATAAATTAATCCACTTTTATTATTGTTATTTTATCATGAAATAAATTTACTGACTTTCAGAATTGTTAATTCTAATTTCGATTTTTATATTAAAGATAATAAAAACAAAACATACAATTAATCCTACATTTCAATGGTATCATTTTGGTACTTAATGTTTGTTTTGAGAAAGTTAAGCAAAGTGTGTCGCAATAATACGAATTGAATTGGTGATCAGTACCTGCTGCCAACATATGAATAATTGAATTCAGTTATGTTAAAAAAATATTATTTAAACTAATTAAACAGAACTAGAATTCATGTAATAGCATATGAATTATATTAGACATTTTTAGTATCATTAATACTAAATTTAAAATTTTGTTTAATTTTTTTTTTTGAAAAATTGTTAATTAACTTTTAGTAGATTGAAAGTAGGTTGTTTTTTTTTCTTCATCTAATAAAGATAATGTCAGTTTACAATGATGGATTAGTAGCAAATAATAAATATTATGATGTTATAAGGCATATGGAGTCGTTTCATAGGAGTGCATGCATTTGCATAAATAATTTCTTTAAATTGGAAATAAAGAAACATTTTTCTTCGAGACCTTTCAACGGTGATTTAATTGGTGATAGTTTGTCCTTAAGATTTAAATAAAGAGAGGCTGGATGAGAGAGAGAAAGAGAGAGGGAGACGGAGAGAAAAGAAGAAGAAAAAAACAGAACCAGCATCCTTTCTCTTGTGAAAGAAACAAACGAAATGTCCTTAAGACTTTGAAACGAATCTTTCAGCGTTGCGAAACCGTTTGTGGAAATTGGTCATTAATTTGGGGGGGAAGGTTTGTTTTATTTACGAAAGTTCGGCACAGTGAGCGAACAAAAATTGTGAATTGCTGACAGTCGGTTTCCGGAATCCGTGGTTTTGCGAAGCAGCCGCACGTCAGTCGGCATGGCATGCCTCTCTTATTATTATGGTTGTTTTTATTATTATATGTATCGTCGTCTCCTTCACTCTGACTCTTACTCTCATATGTATATAGACAGTATATGAAAATACATACACAGACACACGCATACTGCCGTCGAAGAATGAAATGAAATTCAATCAAAATATTATATTCTCAAGGTTTCTTTCTAAATAAAAAGTACAAACATTCACTCGCTACCTTGATACGATGATAAATACGAATCCAGACTTAATTATTGTTACACACGTTCATTTGTTATTTACATTATGCTAAACGAGAAAATCCCCCAGTCTCCTTTTCCGTCTTTCTTTCTTTCATTCTTTCATCGAAATTGGTATGATCAGTTCTCCACGATTTCGCAAATTGTACGTTCATTTTTCATAAACCTATACTTTTTTTCTATATTATCTTCATATCTCCATATCTTCATGTATTATAATATATATTCTTCTCAACATCAAATCTTCATCTATATATTCTTCTCAATAATAAAATTGCGAAAAAAGGAACCGTTACGCAAGACTTTCCCCAAAAACGTGGGCGAGAAAGTCACAGAAACGCAAAGGAAGGATAATTACGCGGGGCCACACGAAAACGAGCGGGGCCCCGGTGTTACGCAACGGCGAATTTGGATTTCTCAAGTTCTGCGGCCTGCGTTACGCAATCCGGCGTAAATTCAATATTTGTCGCGGATGCATTGCGTACGGCGTGTGTGTATTTCTGTGTGTGCGTGCGTGTCTATGTATGTGTGCGCGCCGTGAGTCGGTTACCAATGAAAATCAGGTGAAATTACCTAATAAACACCTTTTCTCTTTTGCATACATTGGCCTAATCGATAATGTTATCCCGCTTATTGCGAATGCAAAACTCCGGAGCAGGCAATTTCAATCGGATTATCTTGATGCTTTTCGTTTTCCAATTCTTTGTTCTTCTGTTGCTGCCGCTGCCGCGCGGCGTTGTTGTTATTGTTGTTGTTTTTTTTCCTTTTCTTTTCTTTTTTTTTTTTTTGGATTAAGGAGAATGAAATTTTGATCGCAAGTAATTAGAAACAATTCCAAGGAGACTCCCATTGTGTATTTTTGACGTGGCCAAGGAGCGTATCGGAATAATAAAATGTAATTAAAGATTGTGGGGATTGTTTGGTTTTGGATTTTCGTTGGAGTGTAGAAGAAGAATAAGAAAAAAGGGGGTAGCGTGCATGCTTTGTATGAGTGAGTGTGAGTACGTATGTGCGTGTATGTATTTGTGTGTGCACGTACGTGTGGATGGATGTGAGTGCGAGTATGGGTGTGTGTGTGTGCGCGAGTATATGTGTGTGTGTGTTGTTGCTGTGTCAGCGAAGCAAGACCACTTTCACTTCCCTACAAAGCGGAGACCTTGAAGGTTTTAAACAGGTAAAATCAGTCTCGAGGACAGTCGTAGCAGCACAAAACGATCAATTACTTAATACAACGCTCGCCTGTATTACGCCATTTGTAATTTATGAGCTTCGGCTATATTTTCTACGGGATTGCACCGTGAATGGAGAAAGGCTACTTAGGGGGTTGTTGTTGCTGATGTTGTTATTATCGTTGTTGTTGTTGTTGTTTATAATTTTGTCGCGGTTTCGATCGAATTCGCGGACTCGTCCAATCACATAGGTCGCATGTCTAGTTTTAGGGTCCAGATGAGATGAGAGGCTTATGCGGCGGTTACGCGATAGTGAAAGTGCTACACTATGGTTACTTTCCCTCGCTCTCGTAACAACGTAACACACAACAATGGCATATTACATGAGCAAAGCACTCGAGCTATTTGGTTTTTGATTCGCGTGTCACCTGGCTTTCGCGCGGTACAACAATCGAAGAGAAAGAAAATGAAGAAACGAACGCAGGACCCAATAACATCGAAAGAACACACGCAGAGATAAATGATTGGAATTAGCAGAGCCGAAGTAGATAGAATTGAAAAAGATGAAGAACGACAATTGTAATAACAATAATAATAATAATAAGAATGAAAGCGAAAACGAAGCTAAGAGTTTTTCGCCGCTGGTGACGTAAGGCAGTCCAAACGGACGGAAAGAGTAGGACGCTGGCGAAGGTGAAAGAAAGGACATCCGATTCAAGGTTCCAAATAACAAAAGGGTAAAAATTGAAACAGGCTAATATACAGATTCCGAGCGCTCGTTAGGAATATTGCACTGGTATTATACAACAGGCAGGCCCCCCTCCAGGGAGGCGAGTGTGGGTATATTGTGAAAGTCTGTTCGCGGCCCCTGCGCGGGCCCCGCTCGCGACGAGTCTCCTTGGCGGACTCGGTGAAAGCAAGCGAAACCGCCGCTCGGAATGCCTTAGCCTGGCCGCTGCCGCCACCGTCGCCAACGCCACTGATATCTATAACGACTACGACAACCCCTAGCTAGGGTCCGCGACCTAAAGTCTTGGCGCGCGTATTCGTAAACTCCCTGGACCACTTGCCAGAAACGCATTCCGTCATCGGCACTGTTATTATTTATTTCAGTTCAGCTCTTTCCTGCTACATCCAAACAGACACATTACATTCTGTTTGCATGCGTGTGAGTGAGTGTGTGTGTGCGTGGATTGCGCGACCGCCTGCTACTCGCGACCTTGAAAGTAGAGAAAGAGGAGCACAGCAAGCGAGTTGGCTATAGGAACAAAAAATATATATAGGTATAGTTATATATATATATAACTATATACCTATATATATATAGGTATATGTATAAATGTGTCCGCGCGCGACGTGGAAGGGGAATTTGAAAAGAAAAGAGAGGAAAGTAAAGGGAGAAATTAAGAACTAGTAGTATTAAGTGCGATCCCGCGCGGACGAACTGAATTGATGCTAAATATTTTTGCATCGTCGCTGCTGCGTGTGAGCGTGTGGGTCAAATACACGTTGCTACTGGATCCTGGGAATCCACGAGAGTAGGTAGTACCGCGGATCGAATTGGGTCTGAGGAGCCGTCAGTGGCGAGCGCGAGTCCTTCTGGTCCTGGTTCCCCTCCGCCGGTGCCCGGTCTCGTGGATCCGCGTGTCCGCCGTCCATCCATCCATCCGTCCGTCCGTCCGGCCGCGCTTTCGTCTCAGTAGCTCCTTCGCCTCCTCTCCGTGGTCGGCATCCAGAGGTGGCCAGAAAGAAGTCGCTGAGGAAAAACCGAAAAGCACCTCTGGTGTTTCTTTCCCTTTCGGCTGATCGGAGCGCGCGTTTCGTGCATATAGCCATATAGCAATAGCAGTGTGTTTGTGAAGGCTCGCGCTCGTTCACTTTTACTTTCATTTGTGGCGCAACATAGTGCCGAGAGTCGTGCCCCAAAAATATAATCCACTCAATACGAAGGCAGGCGAGCGAGAAGAGGCGAGAACGGACAGCGTGTGCAACGGTTGTGTGTTGTAGTGCAGTGGAGTGCTATTGCTATGGCTATGGCTTGGTGCCATCGCGGTCCAAATCCAAGTGCTCGCGACCACCCTGCGAATCCACCCCAATAGGAGTACCACCCGCAAGCTCGAATTCCAGCTTTATATATACAGCTTTTGCTTTTCAAGCACAAGCTCCAGCCTTCCCCTATTGCCGCCGTCAGCACCTCTTCACCGTCCGCGATACATGGGATTACCAATACCAACCGCGAACAATTCGCACGGAATTACATAACGGGCGGCACGCACCGACTTTTTGGCTGCCTCTTCGAATGGGCTTGTGTGACAACGACAAACAGCAATATCAACAACGACACCGACAACAAATTGCAACAATAACAACAAATACCGACGGCTGCAGCGACAGTTACTGCTGCGGCACTCGCACTCGAAAGTAGAAAATACCAGAGAGAGATTAATGCGATTAATGCTTTTGCAAATTCAAATGAACACCTGTAAGTAAAGGCGTGTCCCTTATTGCACTTTAAACCGGACTCGCGAAACTATACACGACCGAAAACATTCGCACAATGCTCACATTTCCAAATAGATATAAACATAAGTAAAATACATTTATATTTACCTACCTATATATACACTATATATATACATATATAGTATATATATATATACTATTTTATATATATATATTAGACATTCCTTTCGATGTAATTTAAAGCCAATTAGCCAATCACTTTCAAATTGAAGCCAAACTTTTTCCAGGTGATTTTTAAACCATAAGAAACCATCCGCTCCGCCATGTACTCGGACGACCAAGAATCCCACGGTTTATTAACTTTGCATTACGGCAAACATCATGCAACGATAGTAGACGAGATTAAAACTTGCTTTTCATCAGAAAACTACGCAGACATGACCTTCATATGCGACGACAAAACGGCGCTAAGTGCACACAAATTGATCATGGCGTCGGCGAGTCCGCTCGTCAGATGCATCCTGGGTGAGAGCGTCCACGCGAACGGTCCCAGCGTGGTTCTCATTCCGGGTATCAAGAGTGGACACCTGAGGCATCTTCTCGACTTCCTGTACCACGGACAGACTTGTATAAAGGTACGAATCGCTAAAGTATTGCGGGGACAAAAATGTTGACCAAAAAGTTTGTTTACTTTTAAATTGCAGTCCAGCGAGTTGGATAGCATACAGGAACTGTTTGAGCTGCTTCAGATTAAGTCGGATGTTTGGGAATCGAGTACCCGTGAGGAGGTAAAAAAACTGGGCGAGGACAGTTGGACGGCTTCGTCCGAGCCGGACACCGCGACGATATCGGTCAAGCGCGAATCGGAGGAAAGTCCCGAAGACGATGAAAAGGAAGAGGGCGAAATCAAGGACGACGAAGATGAGGAAGACGAGGAGGATCCCGAGGGCGACCAGGAGAGGCTCAGCAGCTCGCCGAATCCCGTCAACCTATCTCTGAACACCAAGACGACGGACAACAGTACAGCGGAAAACGAAAAGGACAACAAATCTGATGTAAGCATTGATCTTATCTAAACAGATGAATAATAATTAAAACGTTTACGCTTGCTTATTTTTATAGAATTCAGAATCTCAGAGTCCCGACATACTGAAGATCGGACAGTCTACGGTGAAAATAGCTCCGAAAGTGCACGAGCTCTCTCAGTACCATCACCATAGGATGAAAAGGAAAAGCATGTACATAGAGCCAATAGACATAAAGCATCAAGAGGAATTCCCGCAACTAAAACCGCCGATGGGTGATCAGAAATTAATATCGCTAGTACAAAGCCCAGATAACTACGTGGTGACACCGCACAGGAAGAGAAGACCTGGATTCCATAATTCACCAGCACAGAATCCCCCATTCGTCCCGTTCTCGCCGTCATACATTGATGAAGGATCGCATCATCCTCGATACAAAAGCTTACAACATCCACTACTGGCTTCGCACCATCCGCTTTCTCTCTCTGCGCCACCGTTCCTGGTTGAAAGGACACACACTCCAACCCCAGGCCAGCACGCGGACACCGGACCTGCCGACAACGTAGTTGTGAAATATAGACCACCTAGTGCCGATCAAAGCATACCCTCGGAATCGTACCAGCACTTCGACCGTACCTGGGGCGCTTGGTCTCTGTGCCAAGCGCAAGTGAATCCATCGCCCAGTAACGAAGATAACCGCGATGTGCCACCCGCCTTTCCTGCCAACTCTAGCGAGGACACCGCCGAGAGTTCGCACTCCACCAGCAGTACCACCAAACAGGTGGGTCCTACGGGCCAAGTGAGGGAGTATAGGTGTGAATATTGCGGCAAACAGTTCGGAATGTCTTGGAACTTAAAGACCCACCTGCGTGTCCACACCGGCGAGAAGCCCTTCGCGTGTCGACTGTGTGTCGCGATGTTCAAACAGAAAGCGCATCTCTTGAAACACTTGTGTTCAGTGCATAGGAACGTGATATCATCATCGAACGACGGCAGTGTCGGTCGGTTCAATTGCTGTTTCTGTCCTCTGTCATTCGAATCCCTACCCGAGCTCATCAGACATTTGTCAGGACCCCACAACAACCTGTTACTTAGCAAAAACATGCATGAACTCAAATAGTACATTCCACTTACTGTTAATACTCTACAAATAATGATTATTATTAATATTATTACGATTATTACTTTTATCTTTTGGGCATTTCTTGGGATTCTAAAATATATTCTATTTTGAAGAGTCGACGGCCGTACAAAGAAAATCCGTAGAACGAGCCCAGATACTCTTGTGATATCGCGAGCCCCTAAGTGCCTAATACTGTTACATAAGATGCGTATGCATATTATACATACATATAAATACACAAATGTGTATATTTATATACATATGTATAAATCATTTCCTGCAATTTCCGGCGGCGCCGGGAATCCTGGACCCTCAGGGAATTAGTCCAGGGGTGTCGCGCCACCAATAGAAAATTGCGAATGAAACCGCAGCGCCGCCCACCTCATAGTGCTTTAGTTTAATGACGTAACATACATTATATATATTTTTTTATATGCAAATTATTAAGTACTGTCTCAACCGTCGCTGTGTTCAATTGACTCGTGTACCTAATTGACTGCGCGTGGTGTGTATGACAAGTGAGCAAAGAAAGAATCAAGCAGAAAGCAAAGAAGAAGAAACATGAACAAAAATTTAAAAAAAAATATTAAGATCATGCTACTAAAGAAGAAGAAGAAAAAAAAACATGTTCGTTCCGCTATTTCGCTGAAACACGTTGAAAGATGAAAGACGAAAAAATAAAAGAAGAAAAACAATATCATACGAGAACGACCACCCTGTTATATACATCACAAGTGGATTAACTATGTAACGATGCACGTGCAAAAAATGCCAGGCTGCATTTGAAAACCACAACACTGCACCAAACGAAACCACCAACAACAAACCAACAGACCAACCAATTGCCCTTCCATGACGCATTTTTTGCCCGTGCAGCAAGTATATATTTTTTATATATATGCACTGTATATATATAGTATTTTTTATTTGTATATTTCTCGAATTATATATATTTTTATATATAAATAGTTTTTACTACAAAACTGGACAAATGTAGTTAACGTATATTATTATTAATATGCACCACCAAAGACGTAAAAATAGAACATGCTAAAAAAGAACAGATTTTCACCGACCAAAAAAAAAGGAAACTAATAGAAAATGACCCGTAACAACAACAACAACAACAACAAATGTCCGAAAAAATAAATATTTTCGGTTTTTATTTTTGTCTTCTTGTTTAATTTTAATATTATTATTTGTACTTTTAATATCACGTTTGTTTGTTGTTCTTTTTTTGTTGTTGTTGCTCGGGTTCGCCCCCGCACTAAAAGTAACTAGACCCGGGAAACTTTTGGCGAAAAATTATTGTACTTTTTCTCTTTTGTTGCGCGGGTCCTCAAAGTATACCAATACTTTATTTTTTATTTCATTTTTTTTTTTATTATATATAAATAATTTTAATGTTAATCCTCTTCGCCGTTTCTCCATCTGTTTCTTTGTTTTCTCTCGTTGTTTGTTTTACTTATTTCCGTGCCTTCTTATTTTCACTTCTCTATCTCTCCATCACTGTGTCTCTCTATGTGAACCTTTTCTTTTTTTCTATCTCCAATTACTTCGGTAGCCTTTGTAAAATGTATATAAGATCAATACAGTTTGTATATAATTAATTATTTAAGTATATTTAATAAAAAAAAGCGATCACTTTGGTTTTGCTCTCTTGTTAATTTTGTTTTCACCCACATTTCAGCAGCTGGGAGAGGACGACTGGTTACGCAACGGCGGCTTTGGAGCGCGCGCGTTCGCAATCGATTACGCAAGGTCCCGATTTCAAACTGCCTGGTTACGAATATGGTGTCGCTATATTTATACATGCATGTGTATACTCCTGTCTGTGTATGCATGTGTGTTCGTGTGTTTGAAGATGTGTGTGTATGTGTGTCAATAAGGTCTTATTTATATATCGCTCGTTGCTTTTTTCTTCTTTATTTTAGTTTGTTGTTGCATTTCTGCTATCAAAACAATTATTAGTCATCCGCAAGCTAGACTGAAGCGCCAATAGCACCAGACCGGATGGAACCGCGAAAATAAACAGCAAAATTTACATAATAACAAAAATAGAAAGGTTTGGCTTTTCTGGTTGCCTAAGTCTGATGCCGTGAGGTCCGAAGAAGCAATAAGAATAATGTATGCGAGTTACGTATTACTTATGTTTAGTCGCACTTCTGTTGCTGGACTTCTTAATTTTTCTTTTTGAACTTCGAATGAACGGAAGATTTCGTGAGAACCATGTAATGAAGATAGTCGTTTTGTTGCCATTGACTTTTATCAGATCGATCAGGAACCGTTGCTCGGTTGATCGAGTTCAGAAGGCCATCCTAGGGCATTGGCTTCTCTTTCTTGGGTTATGCAAAAATCGTCCGATTTCGCTAATTATTCAAACAAGCAGCGATGGTTCTTTTCGAAAATTCTCCATCGTCCATCCGGCCGTACGCCTCTAATTGCAGACCCAACAATATTAGCATTCTTTCATTGCGTATTCCAAATCTGTAGGAACAACCGGTACAAATTTAATACTCTTTGCGGCTATATAAACCAGGATCTATTAGACGTGTCGCGTTATTTCTGTAAGATGTTTGATCAGCGTGTGTGCCTTTTGGTGACATCCGTCTTGGCCGTGGTCGGGGCGCAAATCCCGAGCCTGGGATATTGCCCGGATTACGTGCCCATGACTGATTTCAATATGAACCGATTTCTGGGCAAATGGTACGAAACAGAAAGGTACTTCACTTTTTCCGAGGTGGCGAGTCGGTGCATTGTCACGGACTACGCAAAAGGTCCTAGTGGGAGAATTTACGTTTCCAACGAAGTCACTAACCGATTGTAAGTATATGCCCCCATGAAGAGACAAGATGGGTTAACTCAATTAATTCGCAGAACGGGCGTGAAGAGGGTGATCAGTGGTAATTTGCAACTGGCCGGCAAACAAGATGAGGGTAAGCTCAACGTAAAATACACCACATCGCCGATTTCTCAAGAGACCACTCTCTCGGTTTTGGACACCGATTACGACAACTTCGCAGTTGTTTGGAGCTGCACAGGAATTGGCCCTATACACGCACGTAAGTTTCTTTTCCACATCCAATGAACTATTCTCTATGAATATCGGGATTTGCAGAGAACGCTTGGCTGATGACGCGCGACCGTCTCCCAACTGGAGAAGTCCTTCAGAAGGCATACGGCATCCTGGATAAGTTTAAAATCAGTCGTACTTTCTTCATAAAGACCGATCAAGAGGGTTGCGCGGTGGCTGCTTCCGAAATTAACGCAGCTAACGGTATCACCGCTATTTCCACGATCCCCGAGGCCACTGGCACCGAGCAGAGAATTGAGAGCGCTAAAGAGGTAGACACCACCGAGGAAAAGGCGACCACCGTTGCTGAACACATCCTCAGCACTTCCACCAAAGAAACGTCGTAATCGGTCACCGGTGCGCGCTATCTTATTTATTTATGTATTTATACATTCTATATTTATTGTAATATTTGTTGTACCGAGTCATCGACTCGAGAGGAATGTTGAGTAATCAATTTCCGAGTTTGGGTAATAAAGTATTTGCAGTTCATTTGTTTTTGTTTCGCATCTCCGCCAAAGAACCGTTATCCTGACCTAGTGGGAAAGACGGGCCAAGCGAGCCTCCAGTACGCCTTATGACTTGCCTGATGCACATGCAGAAAATGTTGCTGCTGCTGCTGCTTGCTATGTTCGCGACTGGGGCCTTGGCGCAGGTGCCCTTCCTGGGCTCTTGCCCAAATATACCAACTATGGACAACTTTGATACCAATAAAGTACGAGAAAGAAACACGCACTTGTTCGGATAGTAATTCTACTTGATGTTTACAGTACGCAGGTAAATGGTTCGAGGCGGAGAGGTACTTTGCCCTTTTCGAGTTCGGCGGCAAGTGCATCACGGGGGATTACCACATCAAGAAAAATGGTGACATTACCATCATAAACCATCAAACAAGCGCACTGTATGTATTACTTAGATGTGCAAGTATGTTTCTAATTTATTTCACAGGACAGGAATACGCTCGACTATCGAGGGTTTGGGCAATATGATCGACAGATCCGATGAAGCTAAGCTAACCGTCCAATTTCCTTCGCTTCCAGGTATATCTCATTATTTATATAATCAGTTTCAGTATTTCAGTACATATGATTTGTGTTTTCAGTAAGCTTTAGCGTACCATATTGGGTATTAGATACGGATTACGAAAATTATTCGGTTGTATGGTCATGCACCAATTTCGGCATTTTCAGCGTTAGTAAGTAAACTGCATACCCTTGTTATAGCATGTAATAATCACTTCTTTTGCAGAGAACGCTTGGATTCTCACGCGTTCCAGAAAACCATCTCTGGAGAGCATGAAGAAAGCTTACCATATTTTGGATTCAAACGGAATCAGTCGCGCCTACTTTATTAGAACCGACCAAGTTAATTGTCCTTCTCAGTATTAAGAGGAACAGATCAAGTGAGATTTAATTACACAGTATTAATATAAGCAACAATTTATTTTGTATTGTAACAGAATAAGTTTTCTCAAATGGCGAAGACTCAAGTGCTGTCTATTTATTAACTTATTTATTTATTTATTGAATAAAACTTGTTTGAAAGGAAACGTGTTCCTGTTTGTGAATACTTTTTTAATGACCATACTTTGAGGGCGTTGGGAATCCCTCGCCCTTCGTGAAGATTCGTGCAGAATCGTCGGGCGTTGCTCGACAGCTGCTGCGCGAAGACATGCATCGCATCGACGAATATTGACTGAACTACAGAGTATTCTGCATATAACCTAACAATGTGATCATTTACGTTGAGCCAATTTCTTCGGTTTAAGAATGGATATCAAAGTTTGTTTCTTTGTTTTAATTGCGATACAAACGCAACTGTGCAGCGGTTTCTTAAATTTCTACATGAGCCTTGCAGAGGTGCACCGTTTCTTAGGTAAGTCTGGCTTGTTCATTGTTGTTCATCACAACTAACATCAATCATTCTCTTCGTAGGGTTGGAAATGGAACTATTCTACGTTCGCGATGGAGTAGTGAATGATTGCGCGATGAATTTTGTAGTACCGGTGCCTTCAAAAATAGAATCTCTATATTTCACTTGGGAGAGTTTCGCTAGAAGAACTGTAAGTAACTAGAATTTTATACAGGTGCAGAAGATAAACAGATGGCTTTTAGCTATCCTATTCAATTGGAATCGACGTATCGAACGAAGTAGCACTAGGTACGCCGAAGTTAAACATTAGCAAAGCAGGTACCGTTCCAAATGCGGCTCAAACATTCAGCATTTCCCTACCTTGTACCGGTATTGTCACCGCTGAAGTGAACGTGGCTATTCATGTAAACATTACCCTGATGCCAATAAACGTGACGACCCTATCTTTCCGACGGAAGAAGACTTGCATCAAGGCGGAACACCTACAGAATAGCCATGTACGCGTCGACTCCGCACCCGCTCATTCGAATTCTACAAACATCTTCTATTCCGCGGTTATTTGCGCTACAAGTTTGATAGCGATAATCGTGTCCGTTTCCGCCGCTATACACATGAAGAACAAAAAGCTTAGGAGGACCAGGGAGGAGATGACTAATCAGGCTTATCTCACAGCAGCCCCTCGGAATCCTACAACTTCCTCATACGGGAGTTTTAGAAGAATGGCCAGCTATTCGCTGATTGATGAGCGCTGTAAAGATCTGCAAGAGAGAATTGCTGAATTGACAATACAAAGGTATGCAAAGTATTTGATTGATTGAGTGAAGCTATTTTATATTATTTTATAGATGTAGAGTGAGGTTGAATAGCGTTGTACTAGAAGGTACTTTTGGTAGAGTGTACTTGGGTTCCTACACTGACGAGGAGGGCGTTGAAGAAGAGGTTATAATCAAAACGGTGACGGGTCACGCGTCTCAGACGCAGATCTCGTTACTACTCCAAGAAGGCATGTCGATGTATTCCTTGAATCATCGTTCAATCCTGACTATTCTGCGAGTATCAATCGAGGATCACACCGCTCCCTTCTTGCTCTACACATATCGAAATACAACGAACATGAAGGTGTTCTTACAGAAATGCAAAAGCAATATGGAAGGTGTTGCCCATTCCTTGACTACTCAAGAGGTCGTGGACATGGCGCTCCAAGTGATACACGCGATGCAATATTTACACAAGAAACATTTATTACATAAGGACTTAGCAACCAGAAACTGCGTGTATGTAAACAGTAATTACCATCCGCAAAGAATCTTAATCAGTTTTTTTTTAGTATTGACGATAAATTGAAAGTACAAATAGCCGACAATGCTCTATCCAGGGATTTGTTCCCAGCAGATTACTACTGCTTAGGTGATAACGAAAATAGACCGGTGAAGTGGTTAGCGATTGAGGGTCTGCTCCATAAGACGTTCTCTACAAGTTCCGATGTTTGGTCATTTGGAGTCCTTCTATGGGAGTTAACCACTTTGGCACAACAACCCTATGTCGAGATTGATCCCTTCGAAATGGCTGCTTATTTGAAAGATGGCTATCGCCTTGCCCAACCTATAAATTGCCCGGATGAATTGTAAAGTCTCAATTATCAAAAGTTTTTTTCAAGTAATCTAAAGTTTCTTTTGTTTCCAGATTTGCTGTGATGGCTTATTGCTGGGCCATGAGCGCCGAAGAGAGACCCACTTTTTCACAGTTGCAAGTATGCCTACAAGACTTTTACGCCCAGCTGACGCTTTACGTTTGAAAAGATTTGCTCAAAACAATAACCTTGATAACGAAATAGAAATAAAGATGTTCCTTTAAAAAAGATGACGGAGAATGCTCGAATGACAAAAACAGCGAAGGAATGTTTTTTTTTATTCTTTAAAAAAAAAACATGCTGTATACCGATGATGATCATTTGAGAAAGAAACCGAATCAAAAAGAATAATAATAATACAAAAAGAAATAATGATCGCTTAACCACGTGCCAAATGTAGTTCTGTTTTCGTTTTTTTTTTCTTTCATTGATTTGTTTACTGAAAAGGAAGCAATTACTGATGATATTTATTTAAGTACAAATCTTAGGCTGGATTCTGTGGGATTTCTTATACAAGTACAAATTTATTTATTGCTGCAGAATCTGAGATTTACGCTGAAAGATAAAAATGTATATGCCTGACCAATGCAAGAAATAAAACTGTATTTATCTAATTTATAAAACAAACGAGAAGAAGCAAATATTTATATATGTTTGTATTTTTTATACACTCTGTAGATTACAACAATAAAGAGAAATATAATATATTTTTTAAATGTTATTTATTTATTTAACAATATTTATAGGCCAATTTGAGACCAAAGGAATATTTGCTTATTTGTTCACAATTCTTTAATATTTCATTACAGAATTTAGCTGTAATCTAACGAATTATCGAACCTGAATTTGCTTAATGAGCTTAAATTATTTGGACAACTTTGCATACATACAACATGGACAATCCAGGTTTGAAGTTGTCCAAGAGTTTTACTATGTAGCCGTCACTATGATCTAACACCTAGCCTCCGTCTACTCTATTCCAATATCAATACCTTCCATGCATTCTTTCCCATCTATTAAAATCCTATCCCAAGTAAATAATATTAATAGCTTTTTGTAAGTATATAGGAGCATGTGGACAATGAATTATGTTTATTATAATATCCTGTTTATAATGACTACTTCCAAATTATATTGAACTATGTTATTGATTTGGACAAGTTAACCATTGTGCTCCAAAGATAATATTTGGATGTGTGGTAATTCGTCAATACACAAGAAATACAATGCTCTACAAATGCTACTTAAAATCAATAACTTAAATAAAACAATCTGCAGCAGTATATTAATGTCAGATGAATCTTGTTTGTTTTTCTACACATACCCATTCGTCCGGAGGTCGCAGAAAAAAGTTTGAGAATCATTGCACGAAGATGGTGTGATCGATGATGTAATTATCTTGAAGTGTTGTCGAGAAAAAACGTATTTTCCCTTTTGTTTCATAAAAAGGTGGGTAAGGTTGGCGCTGATCTTACGTAATCATGGAATGCAACAAAAGTTACGCAATTTACTTGTAATTAAGAAAAAAAAACGTGAAAACTCGTCGGATATTTTTAAGAAAATCCTATTCATTTTTTCCCAATTTCTACAGCTCGTAGCATGCGACTCGACGACAGTGCAAATATGCCAATAGTTTCGATGGAAAGGTGAAATATTCAGGTTTAAATGGTGTGGTCGATGATGTAATTATCTTGAAGGGTTGTCGAGAAATCTGAAAAGATCCGTAAAGAACATTTTGGAACTTTTGTTTCATAAAAAGTTGTGTAAGGATGGCGCCCATCTTACGCAATCATAATATGCAACAAAAGATACGTAAGTTTCGTGTAATTAAGAAAAAACATAAAAACTCTTCGGATCTCAACGAAACAGCGATTTTTTTTTTTTTTTTTTAAGTTTTAAGAGATTTATATCAATTTATTTATTGACATAAATCTCTCCGGCCCTATTTCTACCCCTTTTCGGGTTTAACAGCCACCACAATTTTTTGTTGATTTTTTCGGAATTGAACCAACGACTTTCGTATCAGATTTTGTGATACAGGCGACCATAGCCACACGGCTACGGCCGCCCCCAAAACAGCGATTTCTATTTACTTTTTTTCGCAGAAACTTTTTATGTCCAAAAGGGACAAAAAAGTTTGAGAATTACTGATCTGCAGGATTCTACTTAATTGCTATAGTATTTAATACATGCTGCCACCTTCAAGTGATATAACTAATCAACAAAAGTTATAGTGGTGTTTTGAGTAACTAAATTATTGATTATTCAAACATTGTTGTGCAACGAAACCTATCGTCGGTAGCACAAACTTTGTAAATTAAATATTGCTAATTCTTTTCCAATTTATCTAAGCATACTTATGCAGTGACGTTATTTTTTTTATAAATAGTTTATTTTTAATAAAAATACATTATTTATATAGGAAGTTTCGACGTATTTCATAATAATATTCAATCTTAACACGAATGTTATGCAAATTGCATATGCAGAAGGATACAACCTGCATGAATTATAATAAGTAATGCGTAGGCGTCTAGTAAAATTATTTCAATAGACCTCTGGTACAAAATGGGACAATAAATATAATAAACATTGTTTATAACTCGAAATATGTTTTTTCCACAATATTTCTATAATTAATTTGATTCATTTTATGCCAATTGCTTTAAAATATTGATGTTACACAATATTTCAATTTTCAGTTAAAATATACAATATATTGTATCTATTTTTTATAATTCTATACATTCAATAGTTCATCTATCGTTATAAATACATCTGTCTAATACTTAAAAGCCCGTCCATATTCGAATACTCTTGTCATCGCCAATATCCAACAAAAAGTACTCATTTTATATTTATATCTTTTGTATATTGCAATAAATTAATATATTTATTGAAAATGGACAGATTTAATTGTACTTTTGTATTAAAGTAATATTTATTGTATATATAAATACAAATAAATACAAAAGACTATTTACCACAGTCTTTACACCTGATTTTATATAGCTAAAATAATTATTTATACGAATATTGTTGTCATTGCGATGACCGGTGATTCATGTCACAATGTGTAAATGAATTGAAATTCTATGTTTAACAAGGATTAAAGACGGATATTTACTTAACTTACATTGAAATAACAATAATTACATTTTTAATAATCAATATTTCCGTAAATTCTAAATACAAATAACATAAATATTAAAATTTATTTGAAAGGGGAGCCTCTTCATTTGAAATAGAGAAAATCATATCGGGGGCCCGCATTAAGAAAGTCCCTAAAGGTCTTGAAAATATTCATATCTTTTAAAACATTTTAAAAGACTTTAATTCCTTTCTATATATATAGAAAATAAAATGAAGTTCATTTGTTTCTTATATAAAAAAAAAATTAGTACAAAATTATTTTTATGTATAAAGTCTCTTTTGGGTGGTTTTAAAATACTCGAATAGTCCGGTTTCAAATCGGTGGATACGGACTATATGAGGTATTGTTGTATTTAAAATATATTGTGTTTCTTATGTTTAGAGTAATAATTAAATAATTTAATATAAAAATAATTAGGACTTTTTTTGTGAAATAAAATATTAAAAAATCAAGATCTATATGCTTTAAAATATGCAATAATTTTTTTTTTATAATTATAAATGCTGAAAGCCAGGGCCGTCCCTAGCAATTGCGGGGCAAAAATAATTTTCGGGCCCCTTAAACAATTTTTTTATAATTTAAAATTGCAACTCTAGTAAAACCTTTGTATTACCACTTGTCTTTTGACTTGAGCCTAAAAAAACATAAAAACGGAGCACAGCCTGAATGTTTGTTTGCAGGCTCACGTTCGTGCCTACCGGTTCGCATAAGTCTGCGGGGCCCACAAAGCGTGGGGCCCAGGACCTCGGCCCCGTTCGCCCCGGTCTAAAGAAGGCTCTGTTGAAAGCAAGTGATTTCTATTAAATATATTACATTTGACTTTAATACTAGAACAATGAATTATTTACACAATACGTAATACTGTTAGAAATTGTTCTATTTCTTCTTCAACTTATCGGAACTACGACGTTAAGAAAATGAATGCGCAAGAAGTTCCCCTTCACGAATCCTATTGAATTGCACGTATTTTTCCTGTTCTCAAACACATGCAACTATAATTTGTTTATAAGAAAACATAACCAGGATTTCTCAATGGTTAGTAATGGAAGAGAGGAAAAAAAAATGGTAATAATGATGTTAATTACGGTAATTAAGCGTGCTTCGGGCGCGAAGATTTCGCGCGGACCTTGAATGTTCCTATCAAGGATACAAGAGCGAATCCTCCTCCAATTACGAAATCAAATATAATAACAATTTCGCTAAGGAATTGTCACGCCAAGGCGTAATTCCTTCGCACGCAAATTGTCACTTTCAGTAGCGTTCGAAACATGGAACTGCTCGTGCGTCTTCTTTGTGTCGTTGCTATTGGTAAGATTTCATTTTCCTGTTTCTTTCAAATATCTAGTGATGATTTTATTCAAGCTGGAGCAATCACTGTTGAAACCAAGCTGGACTTCCAAGATGAGCCTAAGGTAATTAAGAAGTTAGGAAAGGATGTCGGAGGGTGCAGTACTACTGGATGCAATACCACCAAGAAGATCGAGGCTAGTGACACGATATCGGCGGATGTGATAGTCGAGGTCAAGACTAATTTGGATGTGGCTAAGCAAAACACGGATGATGATGAGGTGCCGGATGTGCCTATAGTATTGGGATACGCTGGAACGGATTTGGAAGATAAGAAGGTGCAGGATAACGTTATTAATCCTAATCCGATAGTTGTGTCCAGTTTCGATCAAAGTTTTCCTGATGTTAAGAATGGAGGTGGAGGCTTTATTCCACTTCCTGCGTTGAACAAGCCTTATTACAATTCGTACGTTCCGCGTAATACCTTCAATAGTATACCAAGACCCGATTGGAGGATGTCTCCATCGTGGTACCTAAGACCACCTCAACCTACATCCACTTGGACTACTTGTACTTGCCACCCAACGGTTTCCTGGCAGCCATCCACGGCACCCTCCTACCGTTATAACCCCGGTTTAAATAACCCCGGTTTAAATAACCCCAGTTTAAATAACCCCAGATTTAATAATCCCGGATTAAAACCACCCCCAGCGCAAATCGATGGGAAATTAGCACCTCTAAATTAAACAATAACTTAATTATATATAAAACACCTAATATAATTTAAATTTAAGCCAATTTATAACCGGAAATAATGGAAATTTTCCGCACACAAATTTCCCCAAACAGTATTCAACCCAAAAGTTGTGCTTCGCCTGTGTAGACGATTTTCTTTTTGCTTAAAATTATTTGCAAAAATAACAATACGCAAATTACATCGAGGTTTTTCCCACGGCGAAATCACTTCGAATTGATTTGATTTCGCTCACGATTCTCCGTTTTTTATTACTACCTTTTGCTGCTTATTACATGGCTATTATTTATTGTATTATTAAACACGCCTGGTCCATTAGCGGAGGCAAAAACTGCGCAGCGGTGTTTATAATCCGGATGGGTTCGGGAGGGAACTTGAACTTGAAGTTTTGACGTGAATTTGGCTTATTTCGAAGCCCCTTTGTTACGACATCGTATTTTAATGAGACCGGCTTTGTTCCACACTTTGCACCGACAAAACATGGCTTAAAAGTTGCATTTTATTTTTTTTGTTTCCGTGTACTGTTGAATAATTTGGTGGAATCAGCTTTTTTCCGTCGATTACTGTTACACACTTAACATACATTGAAAAACAATAATACATATGCAAATATATTTTAAATTTATTTCAAATCTAAATGTAATATATTCATTATTGTAAATGGGTAAAGGATATTTATTAAACGTTCCTTATTATTATTATTTGTATTATATTTTCTGTATTGCACTATTTTTTGTAATAAATTGCACATTTTTATTTCTTTTTATAACAGTATAAAATAATTTATACTGTTATATTTAACAATAATTAATTATATGGAAAGAAAATAATTAACGATTCTGTTCTATCTTATCGCATACGATTATTTATTTTTTTTACAAGTCGATTACGGTATTTTGTTGGCCACGAACTCTACACGTTCCGTAAACAAACATGTTCCAATCACAAGATCGTCCAAAATAAACAATTTACGATCTTGGAAAACCGTAATCATTTTCCACTGAACGCAATAAGTTACTTGAAGAAATTCAATTCAGGGACAAATTAAGAAACTTTCTATATCGAATACGTGTTTATTAACTTATTAAATAAATATAAGCATCAATACAAATCAATACTAAAACGAAAACAATAACACCTGATCTCAGGTAATTGCAATTCATTATTTACAAATTTTGATCCCGGATTTGATAAATATTTTCCTATTTCGTTGTTGTTACTAGTGACAAATTCCTACGCGAAAATAAATAAATCATGCGCTTTCCTTTCAATATATTAAACCCAGCAAATAAAATTAGTTACAAAAATAAAGAAGTTAAGTAGTTGCGTTGTGACATCTAGGGGTTTTTCACTTTGTAAGTGGTCACCTTGCCGTTGTCGTTGATTGTGGTTTGGGCCTCGTGCGCGGATGTCTTCTTACCATCAACGTCGCTGGTGGAGCTATGACTGGATGTGAAAACGCCATAGAAGCCGTTGGGCTTTTGGGCCTCTTCGCCACCTCCAAACCTATTGAAGATGTTAGGATTGTTCTGAAAGGGAAGGATTAAATTCGTGGTTGATGCATATGTTGTTTGGTCTTACTGGATTCTCAGGATAGACACCGGCTGATTGATATCCGCCACCTGGACCTATGGAGCCTGAAGCAGAGGCGCCTTCACCTCCCGGAACTCCTGCAGGGAAGGAAGATGAGAAACCTCCGGGTTGTCCGTACCCGGCTGCTACGTTCTGCTGTATGCTTAAACGATAAAATGCGACATGTTTCATGGACACCAAAGGAGACACCTAAAAATACCTAGGTTTAAAGACCAGAGAAGAGGAAGCTGCAACGTTAGCGTTAGAGTTGCTCGTAGAGTAAGCATAAGAATTCGCACTAAAAAAGACCAGCACCGAAGAGAGAAAGAAATTGGAAATTAATGACAAGTTTTTTGATACTTACTTGTTAGCAAACTGCTCGTGGTACTTCCTCAACGATTCGAAGTAGCTTGATAGGAAGTTGTTGAAATCGAAGACGGGGAAATTCGGAGGAGCACCACCGCTGAAAGAACCTCCAAATCCGTATCCTTGTCCAACTCCATTATCGCTCTGGGAAGAGCTGCCTAGAAGCCGGAGATTGGTTGGTTGGTTGATAGATGCTTCAGATGGTAGCTTACCTGCATATCCCGCTTGGGATGTGGATGCGAAAAACGCGAAGATCAGAAATACTAACATCTTGATTACTCGGATGACAACAGTGGGATTTCGCTGGCGACGCCTTGTCTTATATAAATTTTCCAAATAGTCCGACTTAGTCCGACGCGGACCGACCAAATCGTCAAACAGGTTATTGTGTTACCACCTTTGGATCCTCTACACTTCTCTGCACATATACAATTTACTGCTCTCCTCCATCGGTCTGCGTTGCAATCCTGCTGCATTTACAAGGCGCCGTTCCATGATTTATGAAACGAACGAATTCATTATTATTTTGCACTGATACTGCTTTATATAGGTCAATGTAAAATGTCAAGTTCAATTTATCATCCTGATTTTTCTGTTTACTTTTTCCATCATACAAATATGTCATGAGCGGAAAATAAATAAACAAACGGATGCGTACGTGTGTATCTGGAATTGTCGAAACGAGGATGAAACGACCAAATAAAAATAGTAAAACAAGACAAACATTAATCGTAGTAAAACAGTGAATAAACGAATTAAAAGTAGAAATTTTATATGTAAGTCATCAGTAATTTTGTTACTCTGAATAAGTCGGTATTCTGATAACACGGTTTTTCATATAACACGAAATATTTTTTTATAAAAATGCGTCTTATGGTCAGAAAAATCATAATTTTCTACAGTTTTCATAAAATCGTAATTCTATTGTTAATAATGAATTAATAAATACAAAATTAAAGTAGATTAGATTATAAACATATTTTTAACTATTAAACAAACAGAAAATTCAGAATTCAATAAGCTTTAAAAAAATATGATTATTTTTAGATGCATTCCTAAATCCAAATGTACGTGCTTGAATTATGTACGTACATTTGCAGACTTTTGTCACATATTCAGGCTTAGTAACTTAATCCGTCACTGGATGCTCGCAGCACAGGTTTCCATGAATTTCAATATTTTTATATAAAATTATATATCGTGATTTGCTTTTAGGTTAGCTCACGTTCACGTGCTGCAGACATTGTAAACATGTTATTGCATAGCTCCGATCCCGATAATCCTCCGGATTTCCGCCTACCCCAAGCCTTGTTCGCGCCTTCCCTTATGGAAAATTGCCACGATCGAAGTTCAAGTTCAAGTCCAACGCGCACAGACAGCCAATTAATTTCGCAACAAGTTCTAATTAAAATTTCCACCGCTCAAAGAGGATATTTCAAAAACAAACGCAGCGTGTAATTAATTCACTCGTTGCTATTGGATAATCAACAATATATGCAAATCTGATATCACCATTTACCACAAAATCGAACAACTTGATATTTTTGTAATCGTAAATCGTAATTACATTTTGCAATTAATATCCAATATTGAAGATTTTAATAAAATGTAATTAATAATAATTAATAGCTGTACTCAAACATGACGTTAAATGACAATTAAAATTATATAAAGCATAGTACAGCTTCGATCCAAATTCATTAATTTCTTGAAATTTTATACCCAGTTTATGAAAACTAGTTAAAATTGACATTTTTATGATCTTTTCAAAATATTGTTTTATTTAAATAAAATGGAAACAACGTATCTCATTCAATACATATTTTGAAATATTTTTTTTGAAGTCACAGCAAAATAATTCACTAATTTACTAACTCAGAAAAAAATATATTTATAATTAAAAAAAAGAAAGTGCAGTATTTGTCCACCCTTGTTGTAGAAGTTTACCATAAATTAAACAAATATAAGTTTGACTGAAAAATATGAAAATAGATTCACTGAAAATTCTTCATAAGCGAAACAATGTTAAGAACACGCTTATATTAGATAATTCGTTATATTCAAAACGATATTGTCTAATGCCTGCTTAGTACAGTCCTCTCTTTATGAAGCACACTTTGGTGATAAATATCGGAATGGATGCTTTTATAGCATCGTTTTAGTTTTATGAACCTCAATAAAGTAGATATAAACGTGTAAAAACAGCTTCAGGTTCTGCAGTATATTCATTTAGAGGTTTATATTATTTCGTTGGAATTGTAGTTTAATATTAAATTAATATCAATATTGAAGTTACTTATTGACAGCCAAATCCAAATTACGTATTTGCAGAAATAAGCAAACAAAATGACCATCAAAGCGATGTCCTTCCACCTGGGGCTAGAATTATATGTTAGCTAATTACAAACTGTATTACGACTGATATTGGAGAAATGTGGGATAGTTCATAGGAGTGCACAAATACAATGAACATTGCGGTGAAATACAATTAAAGTACTGGATAATTGATGAAGAAAGAAAGAGGTTTTAGTGCAAATCCTCAAAATATAATTATTAACAAGGTATTAGTATTTATGCGTTTTTTTTGCAATGATTTTGTCATTAACTAAAATCTGTATATAAAGTAGAATGGGATAATCTGTGTATAGGAAAATATGAACGTAGCGTATTGAAAATATGTATACAATAGTTCCATTCCGTTTATTCCATGCATAAACTCCAACCGAATGACATAACAGATCAGTCGCTTTGAAAGATTAAGAATTGTACAGTATATTCTCGTATTTCCCTATAGATGCAAAAATACTGAGCAATCGACAAAAAGCTTAGAATTCAAAGCTTTTCGGGGCAATTTAATGATGTTTCAAGCGTTTCCCGTAGTTTCGATAAAAGTAAAGAGTGTACAGGAAACATAGTAAATGCGATATGTATCGATTTTTATATAATTAGAGTCTAATTGGAATCATTCTGAATAGGAGACAACTTTTAAAAACGTAAAATAGTCCTTCGTGAAGTTTTTTTTTATGTAATGAAAGAATTGAAAAAAATATCAAAATTATAACGTAATTACTTAGTTAATTAGTTAATACGGAAAAAAGTAAACCTACTACATTTTTATACATACTGCATAGGTCTAGTTATATGATCATTTGTTTCATGAGAAGAACAAAGAACAAATAATTTTTCAGAAGAAGTTAATAAATTATTAGTTAACATAAAAAAAATCTATTTACGATATTATTGTACTAGAATCTCAGATTATTATAATATAGGATTGTTTATATTTAAAACTAATGTCATATTTGGAATTTAATAAGAGCTTTATCGCAATGGGAAATTAGTAATTTAGTGAGATCGTGAAGTTTAACTCGAAGTGATGGTGGTAATTATTTCTCGTATTGCAAATGCTAATTAAAAGTTTCACTCGCAACAAGAGAACAACAGGAAAAATGAAATGCAATGGAACCGTCTAATTAATTTCAAGATAGGTAAAAACTGATTTGCAGACGTCCTGGAAATTAGTAATAACTTTCTAGGGGCAAATCAAGCCCGAGCCCAATGGAATAACTAATTAATTGTTGGATTTAATTAAATTAAATGTTTGTGTTAAATTTGTTCGGAAGTTTCGCAGCTAACTGTTGACTGCGTTCTGAATATATTCTATACACATGCATCTATACCAGAAGTCCCCAAACATTTGTGTCTCCTGCAGATTTTGTCTGTTTTTAGTATCCAAAAACTCTCAAGTGAAAAAAAATCTTGTTAAACATAAGCATTTTCAATTTCGTGCGAATATTTGTACATTAAGTTTACACCAGTAAAACACATTATAATATAAATAAATTTTTATTTAAGAAATATGCTTTTAAATACGTGAGTATTCAAGGAATGTCTATTTCTTAATTCTGATTCTCATTTCAGATCTTTCAAAAATATTACATTATTTTTTTAGAACTTTATATTGATCTCGTTTTGTAGGAGATTGAATATATATAGTGTCATTTTCAATTCAGATCATTTTCGTGTCTCGAACGATAGTTCCCGGGTAAAAAGACTAAAAAGACAAATTTCCCGGGAATTCCTGGTTCAGTAATAATATAATAGATGTAATATAATAATAGATGTATCATCTGAAGATTATGATGATATCATATAATTAATGATTATCTCCAACTTTGTAAGTTGTGCACAATCTCAATGAAACCTTGAAGTATTTACCTTGATTGGTGGATAAAGATTATGGAAAAAATTTGACCCCAATGCAACAAATAAGTTCAACGTTCGACAATTATGTTAAGAGTCACATCTCCTACCTATACATGCCTTTTTATGGAAAAAGCTTTCTCTTCGCATATATTTTGTTGTCATGAAAATAGAAGCTCTTAAATGTCTATTTTTTCTAAATAAATACTAGTTTATATTATTTGTTTTCAGTTCTTCGATTTGTCCGGTTTCAAACAAGGATGTTAGTAAAACGAGATATTTATGTATATTTAATTGAGTTTCATCGATTTTTGTAATTATGCATGTAAATATGTTTATTATAACAAATGTAATTATAAAATTATTTACAAATTGAATTCAAATGTAAATTATATACATATGTGATGTATAATTAAGTATGCTTGTTCCTTGAAACACATCACATCAACGTTTTGTGCATATTATAATAATAATGGCTTGCATCGAACATAAAGTCTTCAAAGGTAAAAGCTTTGAAATACAATTTCAAAGAATTCTTATAACAAGGCAATTTCATAGTTCCTTGCGTATTTTTCACTTTGTTTCTTATACTACAACTTTGTCGAGCACGTCTGGATATGCCATCGGTGTAATGGCCTATTTGAAAAAAAGCTATGACAAATAGAAATACTACAAAAATACGACAGAAAAATACCGGATCATTTTTTCACAAACATTAATTCAATATATAAAATATATGATTATATAAGAAAATATATATTTATATAATTTAACCCCTCGTTAGCTAAACATAGTTAAAATTAAAAAAAAATAATTTTTCATTAATTTTTGTATTTTATTTACATACAACACAGGCGCAGCACAGGTTAAGCAACTTTTTCTACTAGTAGGGAATATTTCAGAAGTAGGGACATCGTTTAAGAAAAATATTTTTATAATGAATTTTGCATCGATATGGAATTTATCGGTAATTATGTAAGAAAAAACTGTATAAATTTTATCCTATTATTAAAAGATGAAAATAAGAAATTCCACTGCATTTTTCTCATATACTATTTTTTTTCCTATCCTCCTCAGTTTCTTCTGATCAATAAATATCAATATTCCAACGAATTTGGAATTTTTCTATTCAACAGAATCGTGATTGTATCATTATCTTAGTGAATTAGTACTAATTACTTGGAAACTATGGCGGAGACTACGTTGCATATGTAAATGGGAAAGACATCGGTTGTAATTAGTAGATTGTGCGGATAGTTTTATTTATTTTTCTTCGAGGTTTCGTCGAAACGATCATTAAGGATGCGTTCGTTTCCTATATTTCTTCCCCTCCGCCCTGCATATAAAAATGGTAATGCGAAACAAACGACTTGGAATACGATCTTATATCATCGAGAATATGAGTGGAATTTAATAAAAGTAGATCAGCCAGTAATCATCGCATTAATGCAAGATTCAAGTTACATAGACAACAAAGGTATATATCGAAATCCCGACAATCACGTTCCCGACATAGTGAAAATACCGACAACCATAATCCCGAATATTTTAGCCGATTTTAGCAATCCTCATCTAACGTTATCAATGTGCCATATTTATTTGTATAATTTGATTGTATTCTAGAAATTAAAAACTTGTGCGCATAAATTATACTGTCGGGATTATGGTTGTTGGGATTTCGAATGTCGGGATTTTGATTGTTGAGATTTCGGTTGTCGGGATTTTGATCCGAGTCGAGAAAACAAGAGAACTCAATTTATCTACATTCTATGGATACACCAATTTCCAATCTTGCGCCATTAAAAAAAACTATGGTTTTCAAGCCTTATATAAAGCTTCATTTCAGATTGTTCTGTTAAGGTTGGTGAAATAGACTTATTCACAAGAAACCTTAATAATAAGAAATAAACAAAAATATATTTTGATTTGAATTTTTTTACAATCTATTACTGCGACTCTTAAATTTGTGTACATTTATGTAATTATGATAATAAGAATAATGATTTTTTTGTATTTACAACAAAATAGATAGATTATTGATGCATTTGATAAATAAAATTTTAAAGTATTGAAATCAATGAAAATTTAAAATTGTAAATATATAAAAATATAAATTTGAATGTCATACACATTAAAATTCTTCACGTCGATGGAGATGTGACGATGTCCTGCACGAAAATACTTTAGAATGCATTTTTATTAATGGATTGCTTGTGTGCATATATGGTAAACTGCCAATATTAGGTTGTATTATGTAACCTAAGCAATAGAGTGAGTGGCAAAAAAGTGTCCACTTGAAAAAAAAAAAACATATGGGCGATGATGTCATTCATGGTCGCAGCAAGGAAATCTTGTCAAATATTTAACTCAACTCAAGAAAACAATACTATTACCTAATACGTGCGTTTATAACGGCCCTACGATTGATTCGCTTTGAGCGATTGATAATATCAATATTGATTTTATTTTGTCCCGTTTATAAGTAATATGTTTATTCTTTAATAGTAAAAAAAAATCTATTAAATAAATAATTAATAAAATGTTCATTAGACTTTTCAAAAACCATACGGATTTTGTAAAAAAAATATATAAAAATAGGTGGAATGAATCGTATAAATTCTAGAAAAGTTTGTAAAAGTTATGAATTTCTAGACCTAATATAATACTATCTATGTGTAACTGCTGCCAATCTATGCTTTTTTTAATAATTCTAAAATATATTAAATATTTATACATGTAATCAATGCAAATGTCGCCTTTATAAATATTAAATAATTATTGGTTAGTTGTATAGGCAACTAAAATATCATTGAAACTTAGAAATGGAAATATACCTGCTTGAGTTCGCAGAAAATCATTAATAACCACTAAATATATACTCAGAAATGAAATCTTTTAGGAAAATAATATTTCCCATAGTCCGGTTAATCGATTGTCAATATATTGAAACCGGACTAATCGAGCCTTTTTGTAAAAAAAAGAGAGTTGACTAATTTTTATTATTTTCAATTAAAATTTTGAAATATTTTTTATCCGGACAGATCGAAGCCGGACTGTTGTTGTAGATAATTAATTAAGAATACTTGAATTATTATAGTTTGAATTATATTTTTATGATAAACATAATTATCTATATACTAAGTAATGAAAGTGAATAAAGATTTCTAAGTAAATTTTATTTATATCTAATGATAAAAGACCCATTAATGTAACATCCATGTTAACCTTCTTAGAATAATGGTCTCTGTAAAATTGGTTAATGACCTGTCCCCTACTACAGCCAAAAAAAAAATAGGCAAATGCATATTTACTTAACACTCAACATTTAGTGTTCAACCAGACGACAATGTGTACGAAAATAGTTTTGTTAACCTTAGTTTTGGTATCTGCTTTTGCAGGTAAGTTGCAAAAAATATTTTAATATTTTGTTACTATAACAATAAATGTTAAACTAATGAAATTTGTTGCATTCACGTTGCTCTGTATTATTTTTTCCAGTTCCAAGTGTATCTTATGTAGCAAAGATACGAATGAAACGGCAGTATGGAAATCTGTTCCATAATTTCTATGGAAATATTTATAATCAAAATGCTAATACTCAGGATAAAATCAACAGTATTATTGCAAATACGCAGAACGCAATTAATCAACAGGTTCAAAATATTTTCAATCAGGCTAATTTTCCTTTTGGAAATATGTATCCAAACTACCAAACCAATTTTCATAATCATCATAACCAACATTATCAGCACAACCAACATCATCAGCATAACCACCATAATCATCATAATCATCAGAATAACTATAACAATCATCAGTCTCAAAACAATAACAACAGCAATCTTAACGACAATATTAACAATAACCACCATAATCATGAGAATAACTACAACAATCAGCAGTCTCAACACAATAACAACAGCAATCTTAACGACAATATCAACAATTCCAACGACAACGAGGGAACCGACCAAGTTGTGTGGGACGAAATCGAAAAGATGAATCCCGTGGGCGAGGATCAATACAGCATCCACGAGTATGTCAATGGTTTTGTTGTGTCCAACCGTTATTATTACAATTATTATTGTTAATATAGTGTCTCTTAGTCGCCACAATAAATATATACATCAGCATAAAGGTAGCCTTCATCGAGACCAGCTACATACTGAAAGAACATCGCTCATATTTTCAACCAGACGCAGAATTGGCAAAATCCGTATAGGAGCAGTCTTATCAAAATTGTGCTTACTCCTCAAACTCCCACCCCTTGCTTAGTTAACTTTTACGTAGAGTAAGGATTTGTAATTAGTCTTAGGAAGAACGCAAGAGAATCAAGTATCGAATATTTTAATAATAAACCAAAAGTAAAACTCGTTCAATTTATTTACCAAACCTAAGGCTCCACAAAGACAACAGAAGAAGATATCCCACAGTGTCCAGATAACCATCCCTGGGACACGACAGTTTTTCTGTAATTTTACTCAAGAAACAGGATATTCGGAAATAGTTCTTATATTTATTGTCCATTTAACAAGTTTTTGCATTGTAAATAAATGTAATTTATCCAAAATCACATTTAAGCATTATTTTACTAGTTAAACCTATATTATAAAATGTATTGCATTGGTCTAATCAACTATATCATATGGTGCAAACTCCCTACAGAGATCTAGTTAAGACAGTGGTCGCAGCCGAAAATAATGTTAATAAAATTTTGAATTTTTAATCCGGCTCTGTGATTTTTTTTAACCCGGTCCTGTATATGATTTGTCATAAATTGTTGTAATAGGATCGTGCCTTTACATATAAAAAAAACTATGTATTTAGTGTAAGTATTGTGAGAGTCCGGTGGAGATGCGTCTCACAGGTAGAAAATTCTATTGTATATTGTGGGCACCAGGGCCGCATTAAGGTTTTTGTAGCCCAAATCACAAATCCTACTACGGCATATTAACTTATCAATAAAATATCTATTCTATTATATATTTCTAATTCTAATATTTTTTGAGCTGATTTTAAAATATATTAATATTTCATAAACTAAACAATTGTCGGATAGATGTCGTCTTGTTACTTTCTCTGATGAAAACTCGGACATAGGAAATATATTTCAATACTTCAGAAACTACAATCGTTACAACACCCTACTGCACAACAGTAAATTTTTGGAGGCCGAAACTATATCTTTTGATATATTAGTAGGCCACACTATAAAATAAAAATAAATATTATTGGTTTTGTGTGTTTTTGTACTTCAAATCTAGAAAGGTTTTTATAAAACAAACTGAAATGTGTATGCAAGACACGTTTCTAAATGTTAAAGAAATTGCCTATAATTGTCAATGACAGAGAAAATGAGGTCTTTGAACCTCTCTCAGTCTAAACTCAATAAATTATTTGAATATGAAAAAAAAAATAACAAAAATTTTAGTTGAACACAATAAAAACAAATTCTAAAAAATTAGTGTACAAAATTATTATTTTTTTTATACATAAATGAACGATTTTTATCCTTTATACATTTCGGTTTAATTTTGTTTGTATTTAGTACTTTAGTTTCAAAAAGTCCTTATTAACCGCACTATTCGAGGAATTGCTGTACATTTTAGCAAAATTTCATGTAGTGTTTTATAATTATGTTTATATATTTCATCATAACATAGTACAGGGTGTGGCAGAAATAACTTCCACATTTCAAAGAAGGATTGAAGAAAAAAATGTGGAACGATGTGTCACCAAAATTTTTTTTATTTCCTAAATTTAGACAAAAAAAACAAGTTTTTTTACTTTAAGTTTTAAAAAGTATATCGTCTTTTTATACCTTTTCTTTATTTCAGCCGCACCCTGTATAAGTGTTTACAAAATATATTCAACGTGTAGTTTATGAAGATTCCTGTTTCAAAGTTGTTTTGACATATTGTAAATCATATTAAAGTCCCATCGCTCCCTCATTAAGAGACTACTAATTAGTAAACTTCCTCGTACTTTCCTTATTTCAAACCTCCTCCTCCTCCTCACCACAAAGTCGATATAAAATTGAATAGGAAACCTGCAACATCTTTGTGTTTTTGTTGGAGAAAACGTGACGAAATTATTTTCATATCGAATCATTCCTAATTGCCCCTCAATTATAAGAATTTTTTCTTTCAATATATTTGTTTTAAACAAAAGAAGAATCGATTGTGATTAGAAGACAATCGCATCCTGTTGTTGATTTAAGCGAAATTTCGTGGAAGAATACATTAAAGATTCATTCATTTCCCCCTGATGCATATATAAACGTGATTACTACTTCGATTATAATACTGTAAGCTTATATCATCGAAGTGACAGCAGGAATAGCATAATGATGGTTGGCCACCTCGTGTTGACAACAACCTTCGTGGTTTTTTTCAATTGCGTTTCAAGTAACTTATTATTTTTTTTTTAAATATGCTTAAATTGATAATAATATTTGTTTTAGGTCAATACTTTGGGTTTAATCCTTGGATAAGACGACCTCCGCAACCACCGCCACCACCGATGTTCAACTTCTATCCTCCAATACAGAACCGTTTTGCGGAAGAAAAACTACCACCTCAGTCGAATATACTCATGGACCTGAAACTTTACGCTATTTATGATATAATCAAGTGTTTCGCTGCTACTGGAGACCTCAACAATGCACTTCTTCGCTAAATCGTTGTGATGCTCTTTTTGGACAAAATAAGCCTACTGAACCGCCTATGACACCTCCTACCACAACAATACCACCAACACCTCCAACAACAACAACAACAGAACCAACAACAACAACGACTACAACTACAACAGAAAGACCTACTACAACAACCACGACTACAACTACAGAACCAACAACAACTACAACTACAGAACCAACAACAACTACAACTAAAAAACCAACAACAACTGCACCAGAGAAATAATAAATATTTAAAATTTAATTATAAATTTATTAGGAAATTAAAGTAACCTTATAATAAATTGAAATATTAATTGTAAGTATGATCAAACAATGAAGATATAAACGTTTTAATCAATTTTATTAATCTTTCTCGTGCACGTTTTCGGTATTTAAAGAGCGCACCTACTACATAATAAATAGTACTAAATATACATCACACAAAAAATCATGCCGATCGTTTAGCCTCAGGCTTTTCGTTCCAAGAGAAATATCATGAAATTTCCGCATTGGAATTATATCCGCTCATGATGATTCAACTGCGATGCGAATATATTTAAATCAAACAGTATTCCAATTTAAAAAGGATTTTTTCCCGTCTGCAAACTAAAAACTTCCGTTTTTACTAGTATTTACGGGTTAATAAAAATGTATACGAAATGAAAATGTAATTTAGCCACTTCGTGAAACATTAACAATTAATTATATAATTCTAATAGATATTAGTATTATCCCAATAGGATTTCGAAGGAAATCCCGTAGATTACACTAATTTCAATGTAACCTCTGAGTAAACAAAACTTCAATAAGCTTGATGCGGAAATGGATTACTTTATGTAGTGAAAAACTAACAGTATTTTTTTTTCTATCAGCACTGAGGATTTAAACATTTGTCTCTGAAAAATCTCGTTCGACTGAAATCCGATTAAAAACAGGATATTCTTTGTTTTCCTGCTCTTTGAAAAATATTTATTTTTGAGGATGCTTTCCCATTTTTCAAATCGTATTTGATGGAATATGTAATATGGTATAAGCCGATTTATACATCTACCTCAATTACACAGAAAATAATCCGGATTATTTTCTAAAGGTCAAATATTGATTCAACTACATTTAATCAATACGAACAAATATGAAAGAAAATGAAAAACTGGTGTCTAAAGGTCAAATACAAATATTACGATGCAAATATCTGATATTTCAAATAATTGTACATATGAATTACTCTTAATTAATATGGAAATTATATAATCTTCGTATATACTTGTAAAGTTTCTTTATATGCTGTTACTATTCGAGATATTTCTGTAATTATGTAATTATTCAAATAAAATATAAAAGAAGACATGATAGTTTTCGTGGTATACTTCAAACTTAGTGTTTATAAAAGATATTCAATCATTTGTAACGGTTGCCTAAATTGGACCAGTAAAATTGTTTGATTCCAGCGACAGTAAATTTTACAAACACGTTTTGATACAACATTTTATTTATAGAAATGTGTCGTTTATTTAAATATTCTATATATTCTATATATTATATAATTCATTTTAAAGTAGGAATTCTATAACAGTTTAAAAGTTGCCTAAATTGGTCCGGTGTTGATATATACTTATAATTATATCATACTTTTCAAGATTATGCAAATTTTCAAAAGCATCGTTACATTATTTATATAATCATCTTCTATTATAATTACACAATGCCATTTAAAGACTAAATTATGACGCAAATTCACTACTGCACAATTTCAGTTGCACGTAATTATTCGGTTGCGTAATGATACAAGTGATAATCAATAGGAGAGATAGTTAGGGAAATCGTTGAATGTGGTAAAACCTTCCAATTTAATTGGGAAATTCTTGTGTATGTGTAATTCAACCCGTGTGGTCCAGGTTTTTTTTTGAACAATTAAATTGTAATTATCAAAAATTCTCATGAATTTTATATGACTAAACTGATATTAGTATTTCTAATTTATATAATGATCATATAATTTTATAATAATATAAGGAATGTTTAAAAAAAATATTTTTTATTTATTTAAAAATATTAAACAGGGTTTTGGTAAATTAATTTTACTTTAATTAATGATTAATAAATTAAAAAAAACTTTTAAGTTGAAGGAATTGGACTGTCTATAAAAAGTTATTGTCATGTTTAATTTTATAAACTTAAAATCTGCCTTGTTGGAACGAATCCTCGGCGAGTTTTAATAAAAGCTTCAACGCAGCATCGATTTTCTTTTCCTGAACAAAAAAAAATTAAATACCCAACAACTTGAGTGCGCCCTTAAAATGGTCCATGAACAACGCGTTTAATTAATTTCCACACCAGGCTTGAACGATTATAAAAAGTTGCGGTTATTTGAATACATTTGAGTATAGTCAGTGTTCATTTAACGTACTTTCGTTTAACGTACGTTTGTAAAAATATCCGTAAAAACTAATGAGTTCTACTCAAGATTTCCCGGGAAATTAGCTTTTAAATACAGTTCTAACTAGTGGGTGTCATTCCTGAAGAGTTATTCAATCCCGGGA